TGCTATGCCCTAAAGCAATTGAGAATACTTGGATATATCATGATGTGTTTGTCAGGTTTGAGAGGCAGCAGAGCCTGGGTTCAAGTCTGTACAAATCAGACCAAAGACTTTCCAAAACCCAGTGACCTTTCTAGCACCTCTTTCAAAACCTTTTGTTAGCTTTGAAAACATGGACAATTGGGAAATTCAGAGAAGAATTTATATATATATATATATATATATATATATATATCCAACTCCTCCTTTTCTTTCCCCAGTTGTATGTCAACTACTTTTCTCTGAAACGGTAGCTTTTTCCTAAACATTTTCCATGAGTTAGTGGCGGTCATCACCAGGTCATCTTTGGTACTTTTTGTCAATCTTCTTCTTAGCTGTTTAACTATGGAAATGCTCTGATTAAGACTCCTAAGAAAAATTAGGAATGAAGACTCCAGTGAACAGCAGGGAGGCAGGAAATCAAGTATCAAAAAACTCAAATTTAGAGACTCAAAGAAATGGAGGTTCCTAATTCTTTATTTTTTGGACTATACTTGTGGGAATGGATCTCTCCTGTAAGAAAGCAAAGTACTTTTACAGAAGTAGCTGTGATTTTGCCAGCATGTGGGTGATGGAATGGAATAAACTGTCCTTCCTGAGCAATTGGCATCACCAGAACTGGCATCACCAGAAAAAGCAAATTCAAACTGCCGTTATTGATGGTGATATGAAAAGTTAGAATAATTGGGAAAAACCCAAATCCTGACATTTCTCATTTTAATGTTAATTTCATTTTTTAAAGTAGTACAGTTCCCTGAAGGATGGGTATAATTGGTGTACTTTGGCTTCTGGTAGTACTAGGAGGAGACAGGAACATTGGTTCTGTGTGGCCATGGCTTAGGGATGAATACAAGTGTAACTGAATCATTGCAGAGCTGCTCTAAACACTTCAGTAAGTAAAGTGGAGCAATGATGAGTCAGCATCTTTGTATCTATGTGGACGTAAATTTCTCTAACTTATTCAAGTACTCATGTTCATGGAAAATCCTGAGTTCCCTAATAATTTCAGACCATCAGGATAACCTTGAGAACATTAAAAATCCTGGTGTGGAATTTAATTGCAGTTGTCCATGCAACTACTTGATTGTGCTCAGCCTTGCATCTTCATTCACGAATCATACCCAGAGCAGCATGTCTGCACACTGACAGTCCTCGGCACCCTGTGCTCTGTGATACCCACCAGGAATCTCATTAGCTTTGTAGATTTGGGGTCATACCTGTATGAATGTTTGTTACTCTGTAACATCAAAACCTGACCTGTGGGTCGGTCTGTTTCTTGGGACCTTGCCTCTGAGTTTTGTGCTGGATTTGATCTGCTAATCCCACATCCTTACAGCATTTTAGCACTTAATAACAGGCAATCAAATAACTTGTGGTGTATTACAGAGAAAGAGTAAGCAATCCAGTAGAATCTGTTATCCAGAATTGCTCTGCTGAAGTGACGCTGTTTCACACCAATTTTCACTGAAGATAAAAGGGCAGATTCACAGGTCCATCAACTTGACAGGCACTGAACTAATCATCTGATGCAAGGCTTCTCAATGGAAGTGCCTGGAGCACTCAATCTTTACAGACAAACCTGAAAACTACAATTAGGTGTCTACAATCTGTTCTGTAGCTTGCATTTATTGCCAAACACTGTAAAGTAACTCCTCTTTTATCGAGGACTATTTATAAAGGGGCAGAGTGGTTAAGTCAGAATAAAAGCTTTGTGGAATGATATTTAAAGACTAAGTAACACACTCCTAGAATTCAGTTTAAACTTGCACTTTTTGAGAGACCAGAGAGAATTAATAAATTTTCTGGAGAAATGAAAGGAATTACCACATACATTGATGAAACATATTTTGTTCTTTTACTGCTCTTACTGGGATGCAAGCTGTTGGCCCTCAGCTGTGGTTAAAATTGCACTTGGTTTATTAACTTCTAAAATAATCGCAAATGAAAATATATGTTTGTGTGTTATTACATGAATATTTAGGACTATAGTAAGATGTAAAATGAGTAAATTTTTAAGTCTGTTGTTAATATATTTCTTGTATTTAGAAAAATATAACAAAAAATCAGCATAAGCCACTTATTGTCTAAAAGAAAAGCTGCTACAAATAGAGAGGGAAACGTTGACAATGCAAATTAATTAAATTATGACAAAAAATAAAGTATCAACTCCCTTTCTTCCATATTCAAAAGCCTGCACTTGTCAAGAAATAATCTCCCCACAATTTCTCAACTGGCTCTGGCAACATGCCAAGTCTAAACCATGCCAAATGAATTAGCTTAACAAAGGTGTAAATATGCCCAGACAAAAAGATCTAACATGTGACTGGTTTATGTGATGTTCTTTCAATTAACTACTTTCCAATAAGCCTCAGTTTTAACTTCATAAGCTTCAGAATTCATTTGGCATTGGTGAATTCTCCTCCCCCTCAGTAATTAACTATTTAGCTGTGACTAATGAAAAAAGAAGTAAAATTGCATATTGGTTTTATCAGAAGTTATAGATAATTAATTAATCATTGGTTCTATTTAAACTGTTGAGTATTATTATGAAAATTAAGTAATCAGTGCTGAGTTAGCTTCCATTTTCATGTTCTATATGCTCAACTGAACATATTCGCAAAAATTAAAGTTTCTTCTCATTAGAAATACTATGTGGAAATTATTCATATTTTTGTCTTTAGTTGTTTTCAAGCATTTAGGAAGGTTTATGGAAGTTAAATTCAAAAAACTTAAAATGCATAAAGAAGAAACTCATAATAACTGGAGCTGATGCTACACAAATATACAGTAATATACAGTGGGTCATTATGCCCTATTTAGCATTACAAACTGGCATCAACACGATGAATAAAAATGCTAAAATTTGTCATGTTTTGTTGATCCATACTGTGATCACAAAGTATATTTCCTCCTAAATTGTCCATCCACCAAGTATGTTTAAAATGTCACAGACTATTTCCTATTGCAACTATCAAAACCAGCATGACGCAGCATGAAAAGCATTTTATTTTAAATAAATATGTTTTATTGTAAGTATTTTTACCCATATTCCCCATGTTTATATTGAAGAAGAAAATCCAAGGCCAGTTATAATAATGAAGGAGCTACTTAAGGAGCAAGGGATCTGCAAATGGATAGGACAAGTGTAATAAACACCAGTTTAAGATCATACTGTGGGCACCAGAAGGGACTGAATGTGTCTTTAACCTTAGGGCTTCTCTTTTCCTATCTCTTAAAATATCATGCCAGTTAGGAAAAAAAAAAAAAAAATAAGGATACAGTTTCATCCTATCCTACTCCAGGGATTTAGGACCACTTTATTTCTGTATTTGTGCCATGTGGGAGCACCAAGGCCGCGCAGAACTCCAGGCTGGCTCACCCCGGGGCTGAGCCTTGCACATCCAGCGCCCCGAGGACAGCAGAACCACGCACGCTGCAGGACCCTGGCACTCTCTCATTTTGCATTTTTCAGGAAAATGATTGGACTCTGAACTAAGCCCTGCTCTTGCCCAGAGCCTGGAGTGTTCCTTGTCCTTTTACAGCCCACTTGCGCGCAGTGGGAGCTGCAGACTCCGCGCAGCTATCGGTGGGGCTTTGCTTGTGCTCCCCAGCAGTCCATACCTCCCACTGGCTCAGGAACTGTGCACTGCTTTCTGCCATAGCTGTGGCCTGGTCTGCACTCACAAAACAGCCATTACAGATACATGGATAAAATGATACTAAAATACTGAACTAAAAATAAACCTCAGTCTAAAAAAAGCGGATTTTTTTTTTTTTTTCTCATCCTGGAAATGATCATGCTGGTTTGAATTTTTTAGTGTGATTTTCAAAGTTCTCATGGTCTGCTTTAATTGGATTTTTTTCTGAGATCTTTTATCAGTCCATAAAATTTTTAAATAAAAAGACATAAATTTTTCTATTGCCTTCAGTATTGATGAATAGTAAAATAATTCTGTTAAAATACTATAATGTCTCTTGAGTTTAGTTTAAAACACTTAGGAAAAAAGAAATCTTACCTTCTCTGATATTATTTATAGATATTTTCTTTCTGTATTTCCAAATAGTCTCTTGCACTAATGCATTTCAATGACACTCAGTTATGCAGTCCTCTTTTAACTCTGCAAATGTCCTCACTTTTGACTTGCCATTATTGGCAGATACAAAGTATTTATTTTGGATAAAAGCAATTATGAATACCTTCATTGCCCAAAATCTAATGCCAATGGCATTTTTCAAATATTCCATTACTACTTTTCACTACTGTCAATTTTTTTTCCTGTGGAAAATCATGAGAATACTCTCGCTTATCCACATTCAGTTCTGCAGTAGAAATGACAGAAGTGAGAAAGAATGTAAAGTGGAATTCTTGTATCCCAACCAGTTTAAGCAAACCAAGGAAACATTTTTCTTGAAGATTTATTTTTGTGTGCATGAATGAATACAGACATTTCTTAAAGAAAGCAAGAAAGCACTCTCGTGGTCAAGTGAAAAAGTAGCCTTTTATGCAAAAGCTCATTTACCACACTCAGAGCGATGCTGTATTTCCAGTGGAACTTTCAGTATTGTAGGAGTGGATTGTATACCTGGGAAGGTATTTAAAAAGTGGCTAAAACCAAGTGGCAATGTCACCTGAAAATTCACCTTTCTTATTTTAATCACAGCATGCAAGGTAGGCTGAAAAAAAACAAAAAAAAATTAAAAATTCGATCTTTTAATCTCCTTATCGCTCCGTCTGCAGCAAGCACGGAGGAAGTTTGGGCTACCGGCGGCCCGTAGTTTCCCTGGCAACCGGCAGGAAGCGTCGGCGGCGCCGCGGGCCCGCGGGGAGCGGGGACGGCGCTGCCCTGAGCCCGGCGTGCCCAGGCAGCGGGAGCCGGGGCGGGGCAGGGGCCCAGGGCAGCGGGGCGGCCCCCTCGTGCTCCCGCGGGGTCCCTGGGTGTCCCGGGGCGCTGGGGAGCGCCGGGCCGGGGGCTCTGTGGGAACTCGCCGGAGCTTCTCTTCCTGAGCCTCTCGGCGGTGACGGCGCTCGGAGCCCCTGATGTGTTTCTCCCTCTGCACTCCGGGAGAGTTGGCACTCAGCAGGGTAAGGGAGCAACCTCGCCTTTCAGATCCTACTGACTTCCATTCTGCCTGCCTAAAGTGACTTCTAGATCCCGAACTCCAGGCTGCGCTTTTCCTCCTTTGAAAGATGTCTCTTAAAAGTGCTTCTCCTATTTCTGTTTAAAGTGTCACTCCTTTATTTGCAGTCTGCCGTCTGCCAGTAGGTGGGTCACTTTTGTATCAAACCTCGCTTGTTTGGTTCACGGCTGCGCTTCTCCTGTCTGATCTCTACAAAAACGTGTGACCCTTCCAGCTCCTCTCTGCACGACAGCATTCATTTCTGAAGAGTGAGACCTCCTTGTGAAAAGTGCTTTTTCTGGTCAGTGCTACCTCATGTACCTCAGCCTGTATTTTGATTACTTAGAAAATAGAAAAAAAAAAACAAAAAAAACCCAAAAAAAAAACCAAAAAAAAAAAAAAACCCAAAAAAACCCCCCCCCCCAAAAAAAAAAAAATAACCAAACCAAAAAAAAACCAACAAAAACCAAAAACATCTTATTACTTCTATATACTTTTCTGAAAAAAAAATTATACAGGTATTAGCAAGCTGACTGTATTATTTGTGCATTTCAAAGTCTGACACGGATAGCAGTATTTTGTGATACATGCTGCTACTGTCAAGAACGTACCTGGTGCTTTTATAGTATGAAACGATTTTGATTCTTAAGTTTCTGACAGTTAAAAATCTGTCTTCTAACACTAATGTGATTAGAATTTTATGATAATAAACGGACATACAAAATCAGTAGATTTATTTCTATATTAATGTTTTCCATTTGAGTTCCATTTTACAGCAAGAATAGTTCCCATAACTGTAATGTAAGTTTCTGTGAGTTCTGAAGAGATTTAATTGACTAATTGTGGCATATTATTTCTTTTAAAAAGACTCTCAGTGGAGACAGGCCACATTCTGGAAATGGTAGGAAAGAGAAAACAAAATGTACAGTAGGTGAACTGATTTGAATCACTAGTTCTGATTATATCACCAGTAAAGAAGTATTGATTTAAACTTCCAGTTTTAGTTTTGCTTTGTATTTTAGCTGATTTGCTAATCATTACTAAATGTTGTTTCATAGCATTCAGTAAAATTGGGCACTTTATTGAATTCTTTTCACAAGTCATAAAGACAGCATATCTACACGCATGCTTATCACTTACCAGAAACAGAAGCAATCCTAAAGATTTCAAAATGTAGATGATGACAAAAGTACCCGATTGGAAATCCTCTTCAGAGGGAAGAATTAGAATAGCCAAGCTGAACAAGGAGTGCACGTGCAAGAGTCTGGCAGAGATTAGGGCAGGTGGCTGATAGAGCTGAGGGTGAGAGAGTAGCATGGCAATTCTGTCTCTGATTCATCCTCATCTCAGTATTTGACATTTAATCATATTTTTAACAAAAACAGGTGTCACCAAGGGTGATGGCTGGACAGTAAGCACACTGCTCATCCCTGAGACAATGTTTGTTGCTGTGTGTGGTTTCCTATTTTTTCATCTCTATATGGTGCAATTTCTTTTTCACAATAGGAATCTAATGTCTTATCTACTAAATTGGTTTTTTTTTTCAGTGCAAAACACACCACAGCAAAAATTACTGAACATTATAATATTCAAAACCAGGGGTTTTGCTATTTATATTTTTATTAATATTTGAAATCTTGTAATCTCCCAGGAATAGCTTATGTTATTCACAATAATATCAGACTTGGTATGGTAAATAAGTAGAGAACTATTATTTTTATTAGGGACACTTCAACCCAATTACATATATTTGTAGTGATGTGTAGCTGGTGCATTGACTTACTGAAGATGAGTGTACTTAAATCAGTTTTAAATTATGTAGACAAAGTTATTTTTGCAGTCTTTTTAAAAAAGTACTTTGGTTCTTCTTGGAATTGGAATTCATTTTCTGTGTTCTTTTTTTGCTGACTTACATCTCTGTTCTTATCTCTTACTGATTGTGGTTTGGGTTTTGTGTCCTGAATGTCCTTGCTTTGTTCCTTCATCCTGGACCTTCCTCAAATTGTTGCTTTCTTCTGATGTAACTGTACCCTACCCTATTTGACACTGGACTCTTCTGCTGAGGCCAGTACTGCTGCTCATATTTTTGCAGGCTGCCCTAAAAGCAGACTGTATCTAATTCACTTTTGCCGCAGCTCTCAAAGAACACAAGTGAAGAGGAGCAGGTTAGGAAATGTGTGCATTTGAAATATGGAGTGACAGGACTATTACAATTGTCCCATGCACTGTGTCCAATATATAAGAATAAGCATCTGTTTCCTAGTGCACTTATGCAGATTTACTTGGTTGGTTGTTCATGTCAGTCTTTGGGCCTAGGGATTCTAACCCTTCATATTCTGTCATATATGAATGAAAATTATTTCATGTTTTTAATTTTTTTTTTTTTTGTAGGAAGCAATGTTCTAAGAATGTCATCAGGCATCCAAATAAAAACAAAGTCTGCAGCCCAGAAAAGCAAGACATGTTCTCCAGAATCACAGCCAAAGCCTAGTGCCAAGCTGAATCCTAAAACTATTGATCCGGTATGTGTAGGTGGTGGTGGTTTTGTTTGGTTAAAATCCTCTGTGGTTTGAAGAGTGCTCATTAGTTCATGAAATTGCATGCAGGACATGCTTCTTCTGGTCCTATTTTTTAAACTGAAATTAAACTTCTGTTGTTAATCATGCATACCTTATCTTCTAAGCTCAAATGCCTGAAGGTATAATGTTCTTTATTACATTACTATAAAAATGTATTTTGGTACCGTTGTGGCTTGGATGGGAACTGTTATTTTTTATGTACTATTGTCCTAAAAAGAGATTTAGAGCTAAACATTAAAAAATGTTGTTTTTTTCTTACTTCTAAGCTTTGGCACCTGCTGCTTTAGAAAAACTTATTTCAGTTATGCAATGAAACCAAGAATCAGGTGGCATATTGAAGGTATTCAAGGCTTCATAAAATCTGGCAAATGAATTGCTGGTGAGCATTATTTGAAACTCACAGTTACTAAGACTGTGTAATCCTTCAGGAAAAATTTGTGTTCTTGGGAGAGTAGTAATGAAAGGAGCTGTTTATTTCCTGGAAGTCCTGTGCCTGGAGAACTAGCAATGAATGCATGAATTATAGTTCACCACTGGGCCATATAATTTGGCAATTAGTATTTCATAGGCTTTTTAGAAAGTGAATGAAATGCAGAAGTACTTTACTGATAAACAGAGGCTGAATACTTTAATGTGGGCAACTTTTTTACTTGAAATCTCTTCACAAGTAGCACAATGACCAAAATTAAGCCATGAACACAATTCTACTAATCTTAATGTAGGTTTAAACACTCAAACAATAACAACTGAGATTTCATGGTATTTCCTTTTGAATGCTTTGTGATAAGGTGTATTATCTGGGAAGCAGCATTTTATAAAAAACCAAATTTGTGCAGCTTTTCCTTGCATGAAGGTCGTCATTTTCTTCTCCAGTGTGTCCTTCTTAGATTCCCACCCAGTATGAACCTCCCTGTGCATTTTCAGAGCCCTCCCACAATCTTGCCCAATATTTGGGTTTTCTCCCACATCTTGCCACCATGTACTTTTGTCTATACTCAGATCAAGATAGAAGTAAAACTGCCTTCTGCATGTTACCAATATAACAACAAGAGCTTCAGGGAAGTGGGAGCTCCCTGCTCTGCTTAGGAAAGAACCTGTAAGACTTTAATACTACCATTTGCAAATAAAAAAAAAAAAAAAGTGATTCCATCAGGAGACCACTGATAGTACATTTTTATGCATTTTAACAATTCTCCAGACTGATGAGCCTTAAAAGCAGTTTTCAGATAAGTGTATCACTTACATGTTTTCCACTCCATAGCTGCAGTTCTTTTAGGAATTTGTTTTAGAATCATATGATTAAGTTCATTTTTTGGTAAACTTCTGTTTTAACATATTCATAATAGCAATAAAACATTACTGTTATAAACAAATAATGCTTTTTTTTCTGTCCTCACAGTTTCGTGCTTATTCTCAACCACCATCTGCATTTGCTGCTACATATGCTAGAGGTGGCATTCCGTGCAGGTGTGTTGGATTTGCTTCTTATTTTTTATTAAATGCATTATGAAATACATCTCATCTATACATGTTTCATCTTTTAGTTAGGTTCTTTAATTCCATTCAATTCTGGAAAAATTTCCAATACTTAACTCTTTTCTGAGCAGAAAGCAATTTCCCATGCCTTTGAAATTGTCTTCTTTTGGTTTGTTTTTTTTTTGTTTTTTTTTGTTTTTTTTTAACTCCCAGCCCTGCACATATCAAAGCCACATTTTTAAAGAATACTTAAGTATGTGCACATTTGGTTTCCAAACGTCTTCCACAAATTATTTTTTCAGGCAGTTATATTTATTTCTCCCTACTAACAAAGATAATAAAATTAGTGCTGTTTTAATAGGTAGACCTTTCACAGCCTTAGTAATATGATGTGTTATTGAATTTCCTGTTCTATAGTTTTCAGGCACATCAAATATTAACAGAACTACTCACAAGTAAATTTAGAGTATTTTAAGTTACTTAGTTATATATTTGCCTAGACAATAAATGTTCTGGTGTTTTGTCACATGGATGCAAATTTACAAAAATATGAGCCATCATTAATAAGATGTATATGTATATAATTGTATATAATAATCATTAATATATAGTATTAATAAATTTATTTGTATCTTAGTAAACAGTAAATTCCAATATGATCTTCCTTCAGTTTCAACTGCTTTCCCTTGCCCATTGCTGTTTGAGGAAAATGTTTCTTGATATACTTCTCAAAATAAGTAACTTTAGAAAATGAATATCTTCTGTGTTGGCATGAGAGGCTTCTATAATTTTTATAACTTCTATTTTCTGATTTTTATGCGATTAGGAGCAGAATTTTGAAAACTGCCATATTTTGGGAATTTAATATAATTGCACTGTTAACCATTATACATACACACAGGCTGGAATCCATGATCCCAGAGGTCTTTGCCAACTCAGTTGATTCTGTGATCCTATAATTTTACTAAGGAGAGCATTATGTATTGAGACTGTGTATGTAATGTAAGAATACAACAAACTAATTGGTGATACATTTAAAGCAAATAGTGTTAGCAATAAATTATATATTATATATGCTATTTTGTTAAAACTTTTTTCTTTATATAGGTTAGTGCATGGATCAGTAAAACACAAACTTCAGTGGGAATGCCCTCCTGAAACTGTTCCCTTTGATCCTCTTCTTTTAACATTGGCAGAGGTAAACTCAATTTCTTGCAACATTAAGCACACAACCATTTCCTATTTGCAAATGTCATTTGCAAATGATTTTTAACAGTCTAAGTTAGCTAGTTTAGGCTCAGCTACTAGAGAAACATAAAAAAATAACCCACTCATGAGGATATTGTATGAATGCAAATGGTCAAGTACATTGCTATATGTAGTTCTTTAGTTAGAGCTTTCTGGGAGAGCTAGGTAGAGCTGTTTAATCTTCAAGATACTGATCAAATGCAAGACTGCATCTCACATGCCCAGCTGTTGAATGAAATTTGTGGTTTTGCAGATTCTTTTGTAAACTAAATTGTTTTGCTTATTTTTGTATAAACACCTACCTTATGAAGTAAGAATGCTGTCCTCAATAGACTGAATTTGTACAGTGGAAATAGGATCCTGTAAATAAGTGGAAGAGAAATACTAATACACTATGTTGAGGCTTCTGTTTTCTCAGAACCATCTGTGACATTTATCACCAAATATGTTCCAGGTGTCTAAATAAATGCTGAATCCAATGTTGCAGGTAGAATAAAGTGCATATACTGAAGTGGCTTACATTCTTTTCTCTTTTTTCCTATTCTTTCCTGTTTTTCCTTTTTATTTTCTTTGTTTCTTTTCTCCTTTTATTTATTCTTTTTTTTTTAATACTAAACAAAACTGTCAATTCCTAAGGTAACATAAAACTTCTTTTATGTTAAGAAAAAAGGCTTCAGACACATGACTTTAAATCTTTGAGTTTTGCCATCAGACCTTCACTAGATGTGCATCTTTGTGCTGTCTGCAAGTTTTTAGTGTTGAACAGAGAGGTATGTGGTGTGGGGTGTCTTTCCTTCCATAGTTCACCTTCTATTCTTTTTTCCTTTCAGGGTACAAAACCCCTATACAAATATGGCCTGTTCTATTTCATGTTCTCATTGAAAAAATACCTTTGGTTGTTAGAGTAAAGGTAGTGAGGTACAAATATTGATTGAATTGGCAGTATTTACAATGTGAATTTTAATATTCAATATACTAAAAGAAAAATGAATTAGAATATTCTGTGAGCAGAGTTGTACCCAGTGGCTCCACATGGTGGTGTTAGCGTACTTTATATTTTGAACTGATCTGACAAAATCTAAACATGGTCTTGCTGCTGTGTGGAACTTCTAAGACATGTTTTTGTTTAAAAGAAGGCTCAGTATTAAGAAAACCATGTTTTACATTTGCAACAGGGACTTAGAGAGACAAAACATCCCTATACTTTTGTTTCCAAGGAGGGTTTTAAAGAATTACTTCTGGTCGAAGGTGCTGCTGAAAAAGTTATTCCCTTGTTGCCTCGTCTAGTTCCAGTCTTAAAGGCTGCATTGGTATGTCTTGCTCTTCATGCAGAGATTTGAGGTTTTTTTTTCTTCTGCTGGTGGGAACTACATGGGTAATAAATGTAATAAATCTATCACATGGGCTTTTGGTTTGGGGGGTATGAATGATTTCTCTTTCTGTTGTTAACTCTGCCTTGATTTATCAGCTAAATATGTCTGTAAACATAAATTAAGATGGGCAACTCCTTGTATGACAGTAGCTATGGGAAAATTTTATGAAACTGTTCTTTTAAAGGTTTTAATATAAGCAGAAAGAAATATATGTATTTGTGTGGACTTTTTTATATATCCACACAGTAACATGCAAAAAATAAAATTTATGTGAAGTAAAATGGATATGCAGGAATAAATACTCATCTATTACATGTAACAATTCAAAACATGCTACAAAGGTAAAACAGAATCACAAAATAAGGGACCCACAAGGATCATTGGGTCCAACTCCCAGCCCTGCACAGCACCATCTCCAGAATATGTCAAATGAGGAAAAAGGAAGAATGCATTTAAAATGTTTGAGGTCATATTCTTAATTTTAAAAAATGTTTTTAACTCTTCTACACCATCAGAAAATAAAGTGAGACATTGGCTTTGAAGGTTATCTCTTTTGCATCTTTTTCAAGTCTTTGAGAGCCCATTTCTGGTTCAGTAAGCAGCTGTCCCTTAATCTAGCTGTGTTTCAGTTCTGATTTAACAGACATGGCTTGAAGTTTGAAAATTGATTGTGATCTCAAATTAGAGATGTAACAGAAGTTCAGAATTGTGTGTTATCACTATCTTTGGTTTAGCTTAAAGGCAAAATTAGAAAAATTATTCTTGTCTCTTTCTCCAGTTAATATTACTCTTCTGATAATTTTTATTGTTGCACTGTTTTGGTATTATGTCTTGTTAAATCTTCTACTACTAGACAAGCAGTCTATGATTTCTAGTTAAAAAGAAAATCTTCAGGGCCCAGATGCTAGAGAAGAAAAATAGTTGTTTAAATAAACTTTTAATTTAGTATGAGACCAAAATAAGTTGTTATGAGTCTATCTCTCTGCTAAAGGAAGAGAGCAGCATAACTAAACCATTAGAGAGCAGCATAACTAAACCATTAGAGAAGTCAGGTACAGAAGAACCTTCCCATGAGAGAAATAAAGATGACAAAAAACTATAGAAGTAGATAAGATCCTGATAACTTCTGGCAGGTGTAGTTGGTAGGGGACTAAATTAATTGAATAATTGGCTCTCTGTTTTCTCCAACAAAGGAAGTTATTGTTATGAATTACATAGAAATTACCCAGAATTCATTACATTTTTAACTAAAATGGTGTCTCTCAGTTTCAACATATCAGCATTTGAAAGGTTATTTCTAATATGCTGTGAAATACTGAAATTAGCAGTGTAGCAAGCTTTTCTGCATGCCACATTTTTTGTTTCAGCAATAATAAATTATTAGTTTTGTTGTCTCAGAAGTGCAAGAGTTTTGTGGACATTTCATGGGTGCTTTTGTTTTCCACTTCAATAATACGCCTTGGCTTTAAATTTGGCCTCTAGAGACTAATATGCATATTGTACTTCTATTTCTAAACTTGTATCATTATAGCAAATAGCAATTGCACAGTAGTTTTAGTGTTTAAAACTCCATACAATCATAATGCAGAGATTGCAGTTTAGAAAAACTTATTTTGTCTGATTCTTACTCACAGGATTTTCTTTCTTTCTTCCCCTTCTGAAGGCCCATGCGGATGATGAAGTATTTGGAAGGGGATTGGATGCTTTAGTGCAATTGAGTGCTGTTGTTGGCCCATCTCTTAATGATCATCTTAAACTTCTACTCACAAATGTAAGTTTTTAATGCTGTAATAAAAAATCATTTGTATGTTCATGGCATTCTTGTTGCGATGTTACTGTACTATCTGCACAGATACAATGGAGGACTCAGCAGTTCCATGAAAAGCATTATTTCATACAGTCCCCAGTGTGAATCCTTTATTCTTTTATAATATTGTGACTTAAAAAGTTCTGGCAAGGTCCAAAAACTGTTGTTAATGTAAACTGGAGAATAATGGCAGTCTTTTCTTTACGATTTATGAAAACATCCAGATGTTTTGTTTTGGAGGAAAATGTGTTGCAAAATGAATTTTTAATTTTAAGTCTGAATATCTTAGCAAAACTATGAACGTTTCAATACATTAACAGAAGCAAATATTCCCATTCTTTTCAGATGGGGATTCTGCACAAGGAAGTTATCATTAAATAAGCTTTGAGAGGGATTATGAGAATTATTTTTATACCAAGTCATTCTGAGGACATTCTTCCTCTGTCAGATGGGCTTTTCATGGTTTTTAACCTGCTTGCAAAGTACACTTTTACAGCAAAATAAAAGGACCTTTTTTGACAATCAATACAGAAGAGAGAAATTACAGCAGGGGCTTTTTTTAAGTGTTTCTACTACAATAAATCTCTTTCAAGGCACATGGAAAAAAAGTTAACTTTTCATGTGGACAACTCTTTAAGAATTACTTTTTTTTTAAGGTGGATATTTCTTTCAAATTTGTTTGGTAAAAGAAAAAGAAATATTTTTGTGGATTAACAGATCAGTTTTCTTTGAATTTAAGTTTCTCTTTAGTTAACTTTTTATTCCATTTGCTTTTATTGTGTTCCATACTTTGACATCAGTTACAAGTTATAAAGTTATGTTTCTTTGTGGCTTTAATTTTGCAAAGCTAAGATGGAATAAAGTAACATAATAGGTTATTATTGCTTCTTTGCTTATATTGTACTATATTGTGCAACAAACCCTTTTGTTTTACTTTTCCAATAGCTTTTAAAGAGATTAATGGACAAGAAATATAGAGAAGAAGTTACTGTTGCTTTACAAAAGTTGGAGCGCTGTGGTGGAAAGGTGAGTTGATCAGATATTTATTCCGTAATCTACACTTTTGAATACAATTTTGTCAGAACAGCTTTCATCTCTGGTTTTGTTGCCCTGTACTTGCTTCAGTATGGCTGGGATACATGCTTGGTGTCCCATTTTCTGGGACTAAATATGTTTCTCAACAAGATTTACTCTTGCAAAAAGTTACTTTTTGCTGTTATTGATGATGCCTGCCTGTTCCACTAATAGTTTATGCTATTTCCTGAGGGAATCTGACTCACATTCCAGCCCAACCTGGTTAACCCAGAATTTGGATCTGCAATGGCTATAAATCAAAGAAGATGCTTTAAGTAATAGATGGCAGAGGTTGAACATTCTTTTGACAAATGTTGCGCTGTACATTGTGCACAAAGGAGAAAAGGAGAAAAAATGAGGAGTACTGACTTAGATGTTCATCTAGAAGAGAAAATGTTTGCTTTCTTGACCCTACAAACAGTTGTATGTATTATATTAAATGGTTATTCATAAAGACTAGGAATAACCTGAGGAGTAGGGAGCATACAGGCAGGCCTGGCAGTACTGAGCTTGTGTGCCTTAGCCAGTAGGTGCCCAAATAATCAGTAGTTGCCTCTTCATTTCTGTGTGTGTGCTCATGTTCATTTAAGAGCAGTAGCAGTGTTTGTATTACAGACTTGAAAAACATCACAAAAATGAAGGAGGATGAGAGTTCTTTATTTGTATGAAGTGAGACAAGAAAAGGAAATTACAGCTTGTATTAATATTCTGAAAATTTAGGTCTAGATATTATAATTAATCGAGTGAGTCATTAACCTCTAATTCTTCTGTCAGTTCCCTGATTTCTTGTAGTCCTACCTGTTTTGTGAGTAGGTCTTTCTATATATTAAAAATACTGTAATAAGATAGAGCAAAAAAACCTGGAAACAAACTACTAAGTTGTGGTTACAAGCAATACATAATCCAACCAATTAGTTTACCAAATTTATTTTCTAAATTAGTTATAAAGCATATGATTCTTACTTTTGTTGGAAATCCCTTCCAGAACATCATTCCTCTACATAAAAATCCTTATTATTTCATGTGTATAATTGTCCCCCTTTTAGGTGTGACTTTACATGTCCCTTACATTGGGTGTTTACTCCCCAGCATTAGTTATCACAACAGTGCATTTTCTCAATTCATTATTTTCAGCCCTTTTGACAGTTAGCCATTGCTAACTTTTTAGCTTTCTACTGTTTGATAATAGCAAAGATAACTAAGTAAAAGTTGTGAATTATGCAGTTTATACTATATGAGTACTGTCATATGTAGTGCTAGTGGCCCTTTTGTTTAAATTTGTTTTGTTTTCTTCAACAGGCAACTGTGGCGATCATCAAATCTAAAATTCCAACCTATTGTTCTATCTACTCTTGAACAAGAAAACTGTAGTGATTTATATTGTAAAGTGAAGTCTGGAAATAAACTATCTGTAAATATCACTGACACTTTTTGGGGTATGATATATTCTCTTAAAATAATAATTATTCCTCAGTGTGATGGAGAGCAGGAGTCCTATCAGTTTGTGAATATGTAATTATGGAAGACTTTTCTTTGTGTATTTGTATATGCATTTGTCTCACAGTGACACTGATTAATGTGTATTATTTCAAGAGCAGAATAAATATTGATTCTTATTTAGTTTTTAATTACAATTTCATTTATTATATCTGCAGTGCTTAATATGTTGTGTATATTTGTGTGATGCAAAATAATTTTGTTGTAATTACTTAAATAAAATCTAACTTGGTGCTAAATCACAAATGTATTGCTGCTTTTGAAATGCATAACTTCTTTGGTGACACAGCACAGATGGACATGTTTAGGTTCATTGGGACTAGGTTAGACACAGAACTGTGAGCCCTCTCAGACTTCTTCAGAGTCAGCTTTTAAAGGCATGAAGCTGAACCCAGTAACAGGCAGGCAGCATGTGGTCCAAAGCTGAACTTGCTCAGTGCATTCTCAGCATGTCCTTTTGAAAGCCTGGAGAGGCTCTGCAGAATACAGTGTAGAGGCATCAGGTTGCTCCACGGAGCCACAGCTGAGGTTTTGCTCAGCTAATTAGTTCCTGTTAACTTTGAGCCTACTGCATGGGAGATTGGTGGGGAAGGCAACTTTGGAATACTTACACTGTGCTCCCTTTGCACTGAGTTCAGGAATGTTACAGATATGCTTGGAATTTGCTTGTGAATTCAGGTCCAGACAAGTTAATAAACTTCTGAACACGGAAGCTATGAAATATATAAGTTAAAGACAAAAAGAAGATTGTACAAGCCAGCTTACCTGGCTGTCAAGCTTTGGAGGGTACAGCCTTTGTCCATTAATGTATTTGAATGCAAAATAATTCCTAATTGGTTCTTGTAATAAATACTGTTCAGGGACATGTTGTATTTGTGTACACTGTCAGGGAGAGTTAACTGAAGTAACAAAATTTGCACAGAATGTTTTCCCCTGAGGAATACCTAATTCTGGAATTTAAAGTTGTTGGAAAGGATGTTTTTTGTCATAAGAAGATGCTGATGCATAGTGTATTAATAAAAGTCCGTCATGTGAAAGCAATTCCACAAGTTTTTTTAAATTACCACAGCCTGACTAAAATTCACTTCAGGACCAATCTCTGCCAAGAACCGAACTGTGCTAAGATAAAAGTATTTATAAGAAATACTTAAAAAAAAAAAAAGTATTTCTTCAATAAGCATTTTTGCCAGCAAGAATTTAACGACTCAAAAAATTGATCATGGTCCTTTTTTTCTTCATGTTTACTTTATTTTTTTTTTTACAAAATGTGCACATTTAGTTTACACAAACACGCTACAGCAGATTTCAGGTGTACATGTATTGTACTACTCTTATCCTACACTGGTGATAGCAGAGCAGCCTTCAACATGCCTCTAACATCCTATCTCTACACCAGAATAGATACCTGATTTATTTTTACAAAATAATTCTTGTAACTTTCTTTCTACTTCATTAATCCCCTTTCACACTTTCTGCAGCTATGTCACAATGAGGTTGACCTATCTCTGATAGCATTTCACCTATTTTGAAGTATTGGCGTAGACTCTGTGGACAATATATCTTAAAAATTATACGAATGGAGGGTCAGTGTTATATTTTATATGCATACTTTCTTAAAAGAATCTTTCTAGGTTCAGAATTAAGTAGTTCCAATCTTAATGAAGAAATTATCTTAAAAAATGTAAAGCATTTATCACATATAGATGATATATAGCTGAAGTTTTCATTGTTTTCCTGGTTCTGTCCCACAGTTAATGGTATTACAAAAAGATGAAATAGATGTTAGCCTCTAGCAGTCATTATTAGCAGAGGTTACTATGTAGTGATGTTCATTCTCAGCACTAAAGTGGGATGGCAGTTTTCAAAAGTTCATGCCTTTTTCTTCATTAAAGGCAGAAAGACTCATATTTAGGAAAGCAGTGTTAGGTTCCAGTTAAGGTTTCTTCATGAAAAATTGGAAGTCAGAAGATCCTTAGTTTTCAGCAAATGACTTTGCATACACATCCAAGAAGAATTAAAAATACGGTATGTAGGACTTCTGGTATTCATGTCATGATAAATTAAGTGCAGACTTATTAGGTGAGACTGAGAGAAGCTTAGTCATATTTTTTAGGGAGTAAGAATACCCATAAGCAACTTGTTTGTTTGTTTTGTTTTATAACAGTTCTTACTCTCAAGTTACCTGTTTAGTTATGTTTGGGTTTTGGGGTTTTTTTCTGAAGAGAAATCCAAGTCAAAGTTGGAAGGCAATTATAGCAAGGTGTGCATCGCACATTTATTATAGCATTTTAACTCAAAATATTATTCAAAAATGAGGACTACACTATAGAAATATGAGAAGAAAATAAATTGTAATGCCTTTGTATAAATTAGAAGATACAGATTTAAGAAGTACGCTTTAACACCTGGAGCTTAGTCCAGTAAAAATGAATAGCAAAACTAAGAATATTTATTTAATCTCTGTGTGACTGTATCTATTTTAACTAGGGGTTGGAATAATAATAAACGTGCATAATGTCAGTTGTATTTTGTTGGAGTTTGTAGTAAGAACCTGATTTTTCAGTACAGTCCTGTTAACTAAATAGCCACTGTGGAAGTGCTAGATTGTAGAATTTAGAAAGAGTTTTTTGTTGGGAAGGGTGTATAATAAAAAATTTACTTGCATAATACATGTCTCAGTGTAAAGCTGAGTAACTTTATTTATGATAAAGTGGGAAATCCATTTTTTTAGATAATGTTGCAGAATAGCTCATATTTGTCCATTAGTTGTAGACCTAATGTCTTCATTAAATCACATTTTCAAAGAGCTGCATGGATCGCATTATATTCTCATCCTGTAAAAAAAGACAACACATAACCAAAAATCACACACCATTACAAAAGTAGTTGGTGATATCTATACTGAATTGTGATAGAACATTTTAGTTAATTGCAACATTTTTTTTCAGCTTGTTTGGAGAAATGGTTAGCAGAAAAAGGTTCTTAATGTGTACATTCTTAAGTAAGTTTTTCTGTATATTAATGAAACCAAAACTACTCTGTCAAGAATACATAGCATATTAAGAAAATTAGATCTGTAACATTTCTGAGGTTATCAGTTTATATTCAGGATAACAGAATGCACCTAGACAATAAATACTGATGGAATAGTTGTATCAAGTGTGAATCTGTATATGTAATTGCTAGTCCTGTGCACAGTACACAGGATTCTTTTGGCAATCCTAAGGCTTCTGCTTCATAGTTAGGGATGACTAAGAAAAATAGACTGAAGTGTGCACCTTTGCTGAGCCAAAATCAGTCAGTTTGACAAGTATCACCACAGCACTCTTCAGCTCCTCAACTCAGTTTTTGTGAAAGATGGTGACTGCTTCTAAATGCTACTTCTGCTTTCTGATTGCTTTGCATTAGGTAATTTTTTAACAAAATATTCATCTTTCCAGTTCTGTATTATACTGATGCATCACTCTGTGCCCCAGATTTTATCAGTAGGTAACTCTCAGCACAGCAGTTAGCAAAAAATATTTTTCTTTGTAAGCTTTGCTTTTCAGCGTATAGAGGAAAAAGTTACTTGCAGTAGCCCATATTTGTTGATGTTTCTGAATCAACAGTTGCTAGCACAAAACAATATGTATATACACAATATAAGAGTTTATTACATGCTCATTTAGCATATGTAATGATCCCTCTCTTTAGTACTTTCTTCAGAGATGATCTAGCCCTCTTTAATTTTAATGAATAAAAAGACTGAGTTATAGATTATTTTTGGATGTTTCATGAAGAATGTGCATCAAAAACCCACTTCTTAGAAAGGTTATCTCAATAGTATTGTCCACTACTGATAAGTATGTGAGATTTCTGTACATTAATCTTCCAGTAACACGTGTTCAGTATCAATTTCCAGTTAAATTACTCACTGTTCATTCAAGTGGGTGATTTGCTTTGTAGAAAATGACAAGTCTGAGTAATTAGCTTAATTTATGTTATGAAACATGCACAGTGGGGTTTTTTATCTTTGATTCTGTATGTCATCTAAAGCGATGCTGCTGTAAGGAACAATCTGTGTGCTACTTTGTACAATAACTTGCAATGATATGTCATTTCAAAAATACACTATAGGCTAATGCTTGAAAATTTTATATAGCAAAGCTACTATATTAAATTACTGAAAGTTAAAATAAATTATCCTTTTCCTCAATGCGTTGCTTTGAAACATCAATAAACTAGTGAATGTCACTAAGGTTAACTGTTTAACCTAAGTCACTTGTCATATAATGAGTTCAAATGTTTTTGTATATACATTAGCAACTAAGCTCAGTAAATGTGCAAGCAAACAACATGCTCTGAATCTGCTAAATGTTTTGACACTTCTATCAATTTTACTACATATGAATGAAACTGGTAGTTTTCTAAAATCAACTCCATATTTCTGAGGCTGGCTGTTTCTTTACAGAAGACTTCCACTGCCACTCCCTTAGTCAGTCAAATTAGAAGAGTCTTCACAAGAAAATACAGGCTTGTCATAATATTTAGAACATGATAAGTTTAAGTAGCTTTTTTTTTGCCATCTTTAAAAAAATACCAAAAAAACCCCCAGAAAAACCCTAGATGCTTGCATTGAAATTCCTTGGCAAGTGTATCTTTTTCATTTGCCTCTTTTTTCAGTACATTTTTTACACAAATTTTCATATTAGACTTGTTAAACAGTTCCTAATTCAAGACAAAGGGAGGTGCTAGTGCATATGAAGCATTGTCCATATGAAGCTCAAGCCTGAAAGAATGAACTTTGGCAGATCTGACCTACCTTTAAACCAGTTTTTCATAGGTTTGAAATGGTTTCTTTGCTGTTTTCAGGATAGCCCAAACCATCAACACTGAGTATGGAAAGGGTTACTCCTACAGAAAACACCTGTGCCAGAAGCCTTTTTGTCATTATCAGAAGGACCTATGTCACTCACCCTGGCAGTCACCCATGCACTGTGCATGCCTTAGTCCTTTGACTGTTCTTTGTGGTGCTGTTGCCGATACGAGGCAGTGCCTGAGTCAGAACATTTCTCATTGGCACCAGTCAGTGAAAGGAGGCAGGTAAGGAACTGGGAAGTGCTTAGCTCTTGAGGTACCCCCACTCTTTTTTCTCAAGACCTAGATCTGCTCTTTGGTAATTTATATGAAGCCAGAAAAACAGCCACCACTTTCTGGGACTCAGACTGGCATATCTAGGGCAACATAGTCCATTTGTAGCTCTGTAGTCTATTGTATTAGTGACTAGTTTTGCCAGTACTTTTCCATGGCCTTTCCCTAAGCAGAAAGACAAAACAAATTCCAGAGCTCCAAGCCCTGGGGGGTACAAGGCCCCTTGGTTCTTCCTGGGAACCAAGGCTGAGAACAGCATTTGAGATATATTCTCATGGACAAAGTACAGCTAGTGCTGATCTGAGGCTCCAAAGAAGGGGCTTGACCTGGGGCGGGGGGGGGGGGGGTCGCATCACCACTTGTCCTCCTCATTGCTGCCTTTTATCAATTATTTTAATTTTCTAAAAGCTATAAAAACCTACTCACCCCTGGGGGGTGTAGGGCTTTGCGACATCTTTCCATAACTGCTCCTGAAGGCCTTAAAATAAAGATCCCCTTTTATATTACCTCCTTACTAAAATTACCTCGAGCTTCATTTCCAGGTTGAGCAAAAGGTAAAACAAAGTTTAACAAGGGCCAGTCCTGGAATGTGCACCTGGCATGGAGCAATTCTGCTTGTGTGTATAGACTGGGGAATGTGAAGATGGAGACCTGCACTGTGGAAAGGAACCTGGGTGTCCTGGTCAATGGAAAGCTGAACATGAGCCAGCAGTGCCCTGGCAGCCAGGAGGGCCAGCCCTGCCCTGAGGGGCATCAGGCACAGCATGGCCAGCGGGGCAAGGGAGGGGATTGTCCTGCTCTGCTCTGAGCTGGGGCAGCCTCACCTTGAAAATTACAGTTTGGGCGCCATGATATAAGAAAGACATAAAACTCTTAGAAAACATCCAAAGGAGCCCATGAGGATGGTGAAGGATATGGAGGAAAAGTCATATGAGGAGCAGCTGAGGTCACTTGGTGTGTTCAGCCTGGAGAAGAGAAGATTGAGGGGAGACCTCATTGCAGTTACAACTTCCTCGTGAGGGGAAGAGGAGCAGCAGACACTGATCTCTGCTCTGTGGTGGCCACAGACAGGACCTGGGGGAATTGCCTGAAGTTGTATCAAGGAAGTTTAGGTTGGATATTAGGAAAAGGTTCTTCACCCAGAGGGTGGCTGGACACTGGAACAGGCTCCCCAATGCAGTGGTCACAGCACCAGCCTGACAGAGTTCAAGAAGCATTTGGACAATTCTCTCAGGCACATGGTGTGACTCTTGGGGTACCCTGCACAGGGCCAGGAATTGGACTTTATCCTGATGGTCTCTTCCAGCTCAGAATATTCTGTGATTCTATGAATCCCAACCCCAAACCTCATTTCTAAAACCAAATCTCAATATAAACATGAATTACATGCTTTGAAGCACAGAAGTCTTAAAAGAAGATCAGTTCTTAATTGGCAGAGAGACAAAAATTTAGATACTTTTTGTGTCAAAAAAAACATAGCCACCATTGAAGTTAAAAGCAAGGGAAGGTGAGATAAGTAGCATGATGACAATTGTACTATTCTGTAGCTTTCATTGGGTCTCCATCATGTCTCTCAGTTGAGAGAGCATCTCTCTCATGTGTATTCTGAATACTTAAAACAGGAAAATAAATCTTCTAACAGACTTGAGGGGCTGAATTGCACTGGATAAGGAGAGCAGGCAATTCCTTACTAAAGGTATTAATTTTCTTTGTAAATGAATCATTCAGCCCATCACCTTAATTGCTGTCATATGCAGATTAATGTGTCATTAAACTTCCAGAATGCTACAGACTTCAGCAGGGAAATGAATCTCATCTCTGTTTCCGATGATCACACTGTGTTAGCAGAGGAAATTACTTTTGTTGGTATTGAACAAGACTGACAAGCTGGAACCACGGTCAATGCAACAGAGCACTGCTGACAAATGTAACACTGCCCAGTGCCTGTTGCTAAGGATACACAGAAAAGCCACAGTTAGCAGAGCTCTTGGCTGTCGTTCATCCTCTAAAATCAGTGGATTAAAATCAAACAAAGCATTGCTTACTAGATAGCTGCGCTCAAAAAAGCAACTCCAATGAATAGCTACAGATGCATGTAAAAATAGACTGCTTCTAGAGCATCTTTGAGCATCTAGAGATTTCCCTATTCCAAATAGTTAAAAAATGAAAAAATGCATTAAATGCATTTATCTCGATAGTCTTGTTATTGTCTGTCTCTTTATTACTCTGTTCTTGATATAGAAGATGCAGCGGTTATATTGCTGGTCTCTATCAGCTTTTGTATCAATCAGTCTGCTGGGCAAGGTACCAGTAGACCGCTACTACGACTTCTTAAATGTGTCACTGTAACAAATAGTATCAGGCTTATTTGCCACATCAATTTACACAATGTAATCAGGCCTATCATATTCACTATGTCTAGTGTGATGCTTTACTATACACAACAACCTTGATCTTGGGGTGTCCTGTGTAAAACCAAGAATTAGACTTGATGGTCCTGGTGCGTGCCTTCCAACTGAACGTATTCTACAATTCTATGAACCTCTTATCATGCCAAAGGCTAGTCACTCTTATTTTATACTCTTTCATGTTTCTTTTTTCTTGCAATTTTTAACTGAAAAATTAACAGGATTTCCTTAAATTTATGAAAATGCAACTTATCTTTCTTCATATCATATACTGGTTTGAGAACAATCTTGTTTCTGAAGAGTAGAGAAGTGAAAACAGTCTGTAACTCCTGCTCCAGAAGTTCTCCATCCTGGCTCTAGGGGCCAGGAGCTGCTGGAAGAATTTCTTTCTTGCTGTCAAGAAATTGACAGCTACTTGGGTAGCATAAAGGCTTGTGGCTGATAATTACAATCAGTTCACACCCTTGCCTTGAGAAAATTTGTCTGGTGTTAACTCTTGCCATCCAACACTTTGCAAGCCCCTTGCAGTCTCTTTTTAGAAGGCTTCACTGCTTATAAGCACATGACAACTCACTGAGAAACTCACCCATGGATGACAAATTTTCAGGCAATATTATTATTGCCATGATTATATGCCAGTTGTGACAGAATGGTGTGACCCAGCATTGGGCAGAAGATAGAAATAAATATTTAGCCAAATGTGAAGAAAATTTTTTCCACCAAGTGTAAACAATGCACTACTAAAGACAGAAAGGATATTGGCACAGCTGTCTAATAAGCAATGACACCTTGTATATAACAGCTCTTCTGCAGATTCAGGCCACAAATTTATTTACACTGTTCAGAGTTTCTGTGTAATGGTGTACATAGATACTCTACCTTGGTAAAATGCTGTCTCTGGTAATAAGATGACCCTCACTGACACTCCAGAAATCTGTAAAGAGGTATGATAGAAATAGCCAACAGAGATACATTCAGTACTTAACACTGAATACTTACTTTCTGGCAGCTCTCAATGAATTCGTCTATGGTAACTACTCCATCTTTGTTCTTGTCCATTTTCTGTATGAAGAAAAAAAAAAAAAGAAAAAGATAGAAAAAGTATGGGAATTGGGTTTGTGTGGCTAAGCTTTGGTATCAGGAAAGCTACATGGCTGACTTCTGTGAGAAACTTCCCCCACGTGCAGCAGAGCCAATGCCAGCCAGCTCCAGGACCTGCTGCTGGCCAAGGCTGAGCCATCAGGAATGATACCCTCTTCAGCCCTTTGTTAGATTTTCTCTCCCCTGTTCATTTGAGGTGGGGAGTGAGAGGGAGGCTTTGGTGGGTGCCTGGCATCCAGACAGGGTCAACCCACCACAGTATGTTTCTCCTCCTGAATTCCTGTGAGAAACAAGTCCTTTTCATTGTTCATTTCAGTTATAAGTCAGCCTAGGAACTGCCAGTCCAAAAGCCATAGTAAGGGAACTATGCTCAAAGAGCTTTTGTTGAAAAAACAGGGTGTGATGAGTAGGTCTGGGAAACTTGGAATGGAACCACAGAGAATAGAAAAGAATTGGATATCTACAGAACTGGAAGGATATGTTATAACAATGAAAATCTTTATTTGATCAGAGAGCAGTCTTTTCAGCTTCTGTGTTATGTGACCTACCTGGAAAAATGTTTCCACATGTTGTCGAGGTGCATCTTCTTTGAGAACAGGATAGGTGCATTTCCCCATCATATCGTATATTGCTTTCATAATATCAAGCATTTCCTAAAGAGGAAAAAATTATATTTCTGCAATGTAATGTGCATTTTCCCCAGCACCTCAGAAAAACTTGCACCATTTGGCGAATCCCCAGATGAGCATCCCAGGGTGGGGGGTGCCAGGAGCTGCTGACAGTGTGGGCACCCATCACCCAGAGAGGCTCCTGCACTGCCCCTTCCCTGGCCTCTTTTCCAGATGACCTTCTACTTCTTGGACACAGCAGTGCTGCTCTTTGACTTCTGGAATGTCCACTGCTTTAACTCAGAACATAATTTTTTAGAATTTGCATTTTAGAAATTCTTAGAAATTCTAGCATCTGATTTAAGCTTTCATAGATGCATGATTTCACCTTTAAATGATTTTTAGTATGTGCAAGTTCATGGATCGTGGGAAGAATCTTCCAATATCTTATGAATAAAAATAAAAGGGAAAAGAAGTTCTGTAATAGAAAGTGAATGGCCAAAGCACATCACCTTCTTACAACTTATTTTCCCTGAAGAAAATAAAACCACCCATGTACACACCCGCACTTATGCAGAGTCCTCCTTTTATATTATAATTTTTGACTTTTGAGTGGCTTGTGAAAATTTTAATAATTATAAAAACAAATCATTTGTAGTATGCTAAGAAATTATCCTATACATTACTCTTTTATAATGAACCTGTTTTCTAAAAAGTGCAAAATTATAAGTGTGATTTATATATTTGCATAAACCCCACTTAAAAAAAACTCCATATATTTGATGAAATGCTCATTTAGTCCCACTTAAGTATGTGTTTGAATCCTTGCAGAAGAAAAGATATAGGAATCTTTCTTTATAAATCCTGTTTCAAGTAAAAATTATTAGAAGTAGATTAATAAAATAAGTAACAATTATTGCCCACATACTTAATTCATTTTTGTCCAAATATCCTAGCAATCTATTCTAGGAACTGTATGGGCAAATACGTAGGCATAAGTTGGAGCCAACTATTTCTGTACCTATTATGCTCAGAAACATAATTTCTGAAAAATTCTGAACTTTTGCAATTTCTGTAAAGATTTTCTATTTTCAATGTTCATATATGCCTTTAAAATGAGACAATTAGTTTAATTTTTAGTGTGTCTAACTTCATAATATCTGGTAACTTGTTGACACATTCAATTTGATAATGAAACCATTCTTCTCTGAATGCAGGACTCAGCTAACAACCTTTACTTTCAGTGACTACTGTAAGAAGTAGACCTTACCTCTTTAGTTATATATCCATCCTTATTTATATCATACAAGTTGAAAGCCCAGTTCAGTTTCTCCTGTACTGTCCCTCGGAGTAAAATTGAGAGACCCATAACAAAATCCTAAATTGACAAAAGGTCTTGGTCAGTTTGGAAATGAGCAGTTTTCCTCAAAAACTCAGAAATCCAGAATAATGCATTTGTCAGAGGTATGAAAATATGTGTTGTTTCAAATTTTTTTGCTTCACTGTGAGTGCTAATGATATCTGGATTAACAATCTAGGCACTATTTCCTACACTTATAATTAATAAGTAAATTGAGTAATTTTCTATAAAAGAAACATAATTTTCTGTTAGTGGTTGTATCCTCTGAAAAGCCTAATGTCTCACATAAGCAGTTCCCATTGAAGTGAATACCAGGAAAAAGCCATCTCCATGGTTTAATGGCCCAAGAAAAGCTCAAATGGTAGTTAGATTTATCTAAGCACAGGAGACCAATTTGGGGAGAACTATGTACTAAGGAACATTAAATTCTTGTTAAATCTCTACCTTGTTAAAGTGGAATATATGGTTCCCAGACCTCTTAGATCAATCTGCTGCAGTCAACATTTCAAACTTCATGGATGACACTGCACACCTGAATTCTTGTTACCCTTATTGGAAGTGTGATAGGGAATAATAAATATAATATATATCCATGCGCCATTTTAATGTTTTTGTGACCCACCAATGCTCTATTGCTGCAGAGCTATTCCACAGAAATGAATCAGAAGGCTTTTGAGATTATTTATATGTAGTATTTGGTTATAGACTTTTGTTTCATATTAAGTACTATTTTGACAACACAAACCTCATTTTTACATTTAGTGAGCATCGTCCAGATTGGAGAAAATATCAACTCCCATCACCTCTCTTCTATATTTCTCAGCATGTTAATATTTTCTAAACAATAGCTTATTTGTTTTTTTTTTCCCTAACCATCTCTTCCACCTCTTTTTATTTGATAAGCACATGAACCCATAAATTTGTGAAACTGCCTTCATAATATGTTGAGCAGAATATGGCAAGTACATTTAAATGTGTCTTTCTACATTGCTTGCAATGGCATACAGGAAGTGTTAGAATAACATTAAAGTAGAGACGATAAAAGTCAAAAGACTTCTTATTTGCACCAGCAAGGTTTTGCATTTTGTCTAATGCAGGAACAATGGAAAAGACTACACTGAGGTTAGACATAAATTTAAATACCACAATGTCAAATAATATATCTGATACACTGAAGTATACACAGGTATCATGGACTCACGTGGTCTAGTGGGCACAGACAACTCTGCTGACAGCTTCAGTCTTTTTAACAATTCAATTGGCATGCTCTGGGTTTTCTTAGTCTGTCAAAAATTTCTGTCTTATTGGTATTTGTGCCCTTTGGGGGAAATGGATACATCAATCTTGAAAGAATTTTGGTCATCTTGTCTACATCTCAATGACTAATTGAGGGTCACAGGGTTAAATCTCCAAACAGTTCTTTAACAATGTACTATTAAACATTAAATTGTTCAAGAAATTCAGAACAGATTTTATCACATTACAGCATTAGCAATTAACCTTTTTAATTCAGTACCATGTCTTTAAACCTTTTCTGCATGGTTTTACATTCTTGATGTGTCTTCTCCTTAAGTCCTTTGTGAAGGTCCCAGTTGCATTATTTTCTTAGATTATATGTAAGAATTATGAATTTATTTTTATTTTGGCAGAGCAACATTTTTAAAAGTTATTTTATCTAAAATAAATCCATTTTCCTTTTCTTGTCCAATTCTCTTTGTTCCTTTCTGTGATGCACCACCTGTGTTAGCTGGCTTCCCAGAATCATTTCTACCCCCATTTCCAAGGCTACCCTTCTATCATCGGTTTGAAAAAAACCCTCTTGACTTCATATTGTTTTCCATGGGATTGGGGGATTGCTAAAAAGCAGAGACAACTCAAAAACCTTCCGGGCATGTGCTCTAAACATTACAGCAGTGAGTCATCTCCTTCCTTATTGCATCAACATGTTTTGGGATCACACACAGTTCAGGTGCATTGCCTTTGTCTGAGTGTTGTGCAGGAGTAATCTCAGGAACAACAGAAAGGATTTTTCATAATAAGGAGTTGTGATGAGCTGGATAAGGACTGGCTAGGATGGGATGTCTTTTCTACATACTCAGTTTCAAGCAACTGAAGAACACAGTAATATAATCACACAGAAATATAGTATCTGATTCAGAGGATAATAGCCCAAATCCACAGGATATTTTGGGCTAGAGCATTGAACAGGACAATGCTCTGTACAGTGGAAGGCAATGTGTGTGTCAGGAGCAGTACAGCCATTCCAGCTGTTAAACTAGGAATCCAGTGCAGAAAACCACAGTAAAGCAGCAGTGCAGAGGGAAGCAGCTAAACTCAGGGAGCAGCTCCCATCTTTATGCATGCAACCAACAATTCAGTGATGTACAAATCTGGCACACCTAGCACACACCTGGCACACATCTAGCAAAGAGCATCAATACAAGTCCCTATTACCATATTAGAGCACTTAGATGCTGTTTTCTATCCTAGTTTAGACATATAATTTCTAGGGAGAGAGGAATTCTACTTTTAGAATCTGGTTTTTTTTTTAAGAAAATTTCACCATGCTCTGATACATACATCCTCTGAGAATGCTGTCACTGCCCACTGAGAGGGATAGTCCTGCTCAGCTGAGCACCTAATGGAGACAGGTGCATCTGATCTAGGGTGACAAAGGAGCCTAAAACAGGAAGTCTGAGCTGAGACAACTCTAGGTTGGGTCTTTCTTCAGTCTGTGACAGTGAAGTTAGAAACACAAAAGTCTCTGCCTTGGTACTTGCCTTTACTCCTTTCCACAGCTTCCTGTTTGTAACTTGCCAGTTTCCTGCAGAGCATGCTAATACCTGTTAAGACCTACTTCTGTGCCTAATTTTGATTCTTCAGGAAAGGGAGATGTCTCACTGAAGGGTTGCAAAATGCAGTGTCATTGCACCTGTACCAGAGCCTCTGTGTACTCAGAGCCTGCTGACATTTCTGTTCTGCCCTACAGCAGTAGAGAATGTCTGGTTGTGATCAGGGATGAACTTGTATTTGTGGGTTTTTTTCAGCAGTGATTAATTATCTCCTAGCAAGGTTGTTGATGACTTTCTGATTGCTTTATCTCAGTAAATCTTTGGGGATAATTACTTCATTAATAAATTAATTAACAAGATTATTAGTGTGCTGTCTCAAATCTATAGCAAAGCTTAAAATTATTGACCTGGTCATGTGTTTCTTTATGTCTTTTTCAAGGTCAGAAGTAGGTAGGCAGGAACCTTAATCCATTTTTAAATTTAGATTTTAGGATTTTGAAAAGGAATCTAGTGGTGTCACAGAAGTGGTGGAGGCCTGGTGTATGTAAAACAAAGGTCACAGAGAAGGAACTGCTCCCAAAAGGAAATGCATTTCTTGTAGCTTCTTTAAATCAGATGATGTTAAAATGCTTATGAGATCACACTTGTACTAAGAAAAATTAGCTCATTTCATGACATGGACAAACCTTTTTGTGTTGAACCCACAGAATCATGCTTGTGAACCTCATTAAATTCAATGAGGCCAAGTTCAATGTCCTGCACCTGGATCAGGGCAAACCCAAGCTGAAATAAAGGCTGGGCAGAAAATGGATTTAGAGGAGCCCTGAGGAAAAGGACTTGGGGATATTGGTTGATGACAAACTCAACATGAACCAGCAATGTGTGCTTGTGGCCCAGAAGGCCAACCATGACCTGGGCTGCACCAAAAGAAACGCGGCCAGAAGGTCAAGGAAGGTGATTCCGCCCTTCTTCTCTGCCCTCATGAGACTCCACCTGGAATACTGCATCCAGCTCAGGGGCTGAATGACATGGACCTGCTGGAACAAGTCCAGAGGACTGGAGCATCTCTGCGAGAGAGTTGGGCTTGTTCAGCCTGGAGAAGATTCCAGGGACAACTTAAAGCACCTCCCATTACCTGAAGAGGGCCTACAAAAGAGCTGGGGAGGGACACTGCACAAGGACATGTAGGAACAGGACAAGGGGGAATGGCTTTAAACTCACAGAGAGTAGGTTACAGTTAGCTATTAGGAAGAAATTCTTCACTGTGAGGATGGTGAGACACTGGAACAGGTTGCCCAGAGAAGCTGTGAATGCCCTGTTCCTGGAAGTGTTTAAGGTCATGCTGGATGAGGCTCCAAGCAACCTGGTCAAGTAGGAGGTGTCCTTGCCCATGGCAGGGGGGTGGGAACGAGATGATCTTCAAGGTAATTTCCAATCCAAGGCATTCTATGATTCTGTGAATTAGTTAACCTCTGCCTTCATAATAGCGCCATAGAAACTACTTTTATTATTAATGAAATATGAAGTTGTGTTTGATCTTAAGAACTGTACTTCTCTACAGAAGTGAGTTAGCATGCTTGCTAATTTATTACCCAATATAAGTTTGGTTTGGATTAAATATGACAGAAGTCTTTAAACATCTCCGTTGTGTTTGGGCACAGCATTGTGCTTTAAGGCACTGAGAATTTGTGGGATTATTGAATGACTTTCAGCAAGGTCACATTTAGAACAACCTTAATCTGCATTTACAACAAATGAAGGATCCTGATTTGGATATTTGCATGTGTGTGCAATAGCTTTACTTTGACAATATATCTAAAGTTAATTAGCCTCTATTTTTCTGACCGTGTAAATAGCTTTGAGGCCAGATCTTCATTTTGACTCAATGACAATATACATGCAGCAAATGAAAACCTTGCTTTTATATCTGTCTCTGTCTAATGAAAAAAAGAACTTCACTAACATGCCCAAAGAGCCCTCCAATAGCTGGGTCACTGGGTCTTCAGAAACTCTGTCATATAAAAACAAAACTAGTTCACAAAACTAATGAAATAAACTAGTCTCAATACAATAATGGGATAAGGAGAAATAAATTCAAACACCTAATTTTATAAGTCTGGTTTTTATGCTATATAAATCCTTGACTTAGAGATCCTGACTTATTACCAAAGAGCATACAGATTTAGGGATGACAAAATTCTAAGGACTCTAAGGACCAAGAAATCTCACCAAGAAATGTCAGTTGAGGTGTACATTTAAGTAGTTGTGCTCAGATCTAACTTTTCATTGTTGATGGTTGAAAATTTGAGGAAAAAAGGGCAAAAAGCTAAAGCAATTTCTCTTTTTTTCACTGAAACTCCAGCTACCACTGCTTCATGGGAAATTGAGAGTACAACGCATAAACAAAAAGTCATTCTTATCAACAAAATAATTTTGCTGCCATTTCAGATTTTGATAATCTTTTTTATACAGAAGATAGCCAGAGTGTTTTCATCATAAGTAATTATATAAAATTGTATTTACTCCTACACTTCGATATAGAAAGTACTTTGGAAAGAATGATTATTTTTTTTCTCCAAACTGCTAAACTACTCTACCTTTTGAGCTGTTTACTTTTGTTGTTTTTCTAATGGAAATTAGAAAACTAGAATAAAGATTGGAATAGAAAAAATGGCACAGCTGCACCTGGGATTAAAAGGAGCAGGATAAAAATGAGATGATTGCATTTTGCACATTTTGCAATATCTTCTTCTACATTTTGCAGCTATTTTCATATAACTAGGAAAAAAAAACCCCATACATTTCTAACTTCAGGAGGATGCTTTTAGAATGGCCATCATGCAGTTTGTAAGTATAATGTTGCTACAAGGACACAGAAGCAAGAGTCTTTTGACAGCAGTAGAGTTATGCTGGATTCAAACTTAGTGCAAATAATATGAAAGTCTGGATCACTCATGTCTGCCTTGATATTGAACAAAAGTTCAGCACCTCTGCTTTTTATTTTCCTAATTTATTTTATTCCAAAGCCCTTTTTTCATGCACAAACCTTCACTCTGAGATAATCAAAACACTCTAAATCCAGTGTATTTCTTAAGACTTTCTGCCTGAAATACAAGTGTCAACAAATTGACCAGAAAAGATACAAAAGATTTCTTTTGTTCCCATTCTTTTAAATGATAATTGCAGAAATACTTTTTATCTACTCTTTCTAAAAATAATTTTTCTCAATGTGCCTGCTTGTTGCTATAACTGAAAGAGGGGAAGCTTAAGTTAGATATACAAAAGAAGTTCTTTACTGGGAGGGTGATGAGGCACTGGCACAGGTTTCCCAGAGAAGCTGCGGATCCCCCATCCCTGGAAGTGCTCAGGGCCAGGTTGGATGAGGCAGCTTGGTCTGCTGGGAGGTGTCCCTGTCCATGGCAAGGGCTTTGGAACTGAGTGATCTTTAAGATCCTTTTCAATGCAAACCATTCTATGATTCTGTGATTAGATCAGAAGAATCCTTGCATATATAGCCTGTGTACAGAAGACATGAATTAATCCTCCATTCCTTCTCCTAGTTTCACATAGATTCCACTGACTTCTTCTGCCTGGAAAAAGGCAGATAGGGTTCGTGGGGTTTTTTTAATAAATGCAAATAGTGATAAAAACAAATCTGATTATAGTCTTAGTTTAGGGTATAGATTTCTGATCACTGCACCTGACTGGCAAGTCTTCTTCCTCTTACATCAATTAATTATTTTTATATTAAAAAAATCTGTATGACCTCAAAACATCATTCACTAAAATAAATCATAAAAACATGTACAGGAAATTTCATTAAATTTGAAGTGAGTGTATTATCACAATCCAATCAAAAGTTTTAAGGAAATAATTAGTTCATTGTAATCAAAACCAAAGAAAATATGACAAAACAAACATATCCTTGTGCAAATGAACACTTTTTTTTTTTCTTTTTTACTTCTACAGCTTAAAATATTATCTCCTTTGCAGTATTTTGTACACCTTGTTCTCATCTACAGTATTGCAGTAAGGTCCTCTTTTTCCATATTATATTGTGTGGATGACATCAGCCTTACTAGGGAAAGGCAGAGCTGGGAAAAAAGACTGGGCAGTTAAATGGAGGAAGAATGAATTTCCAGCTCTTGTGCTTTTAAAACATTTGCTTTAAAGGCTTTTTCTAGAACTTTCTGAAAAGTAAGTATGAAAAATATTGTTTTGGCTGAGTCATCTCCATAACATTAGTTGTAGTTCAGAGATCTCATCTTGCAAAGGCAGAGAGGAAGAACTATTTTAGGTAACTTGTGTATAAATTGGGTTACCTTTTAAATTGACAGATTTATTAAAATATTATGTAGTAGCACAGTCTGAGTTACTGTTATGGAATATATTACTTTAAAGTAAAGACTTTTGTTATTACATTGGAAAAACTTGAAACTTGAATCACATCAGCTAAATTTTTCCTAATGTGAGCCAGCCACCAAACTGGGCTTCATTACAAGGAATGCCAAAGTATGCAATTTTGTAGAAATAAGCAATGGCAGCACTTACCTCAAAACTTACAGATCCATTGTGATCAGTGTCAAATGCATTAAACAGAAAATGTGCATATGTTGTGGAATCTAAAATTTAAAGCAGAAAAAAGATTCACAGTAAGTACATCCTATTTAATAAAATTGAATTTAATTCTATTAAAACTCTTTGATACTGAGATATATTTTGATATATATACCAAATTTATATTTTGAGATATATACCAAAATATATTTTGAGATATATTCCAAAATTTCATAGCAAGACTAGATTTTCAATGAAATTTAAACTTCCTTTTTTGGCAGGTGAGGAGGGATAAGTTAAAAGTGCAAAGAAACCAAAAATGAAAAATTCTGTTCTGGAATATCTCTATTCATTTTTATTCTTGTGTTTGCTAATCATTGATAGCTGAGCAAATAGCAAAGATGACATATTATTGTACTCTGAAACAGCCTGTTTTAACAGGAACACTGACTGTGACAGGGATCACATGCCTACAACAGAGAATGTGCTCATTTGCTCCCGTTAAATGAGGGAAGCAGACACTGTCCTCACTGCTCTGTTTTTGCTCTGCACACAGATCCGTTCTCCAGGTTGAAGCTGATCTTGTCAGAAAGCTGCTGCTGCTATCAGCTCCTATGCTCACCCACAGGTGAGAGGAAATTCTCTCCTGAGAAACAAATTCTTAAAGCTGGCTTGCTGCTGAATACCCATGATCATGGCATTAGGGCTTGGAAAAATTTGCTATGACTCACTAAATGGTCAGTAAGACTCTGAAAGATGACCTTAAACAAATTATCCCTTCACTATTTGCATACTTTCCAAACCTCCTCCCCAGTGCATATTGACTCATTTCAGAAACACAAGACAGCATGAATATAAATCTGTCAAGACTGTAACTTTTGTAAAGATCCATCCTTCTATTTCCAATGAATGCCTTCTAAAAGGCACAACCTGCTCCAGGAGTAATATATTGTAAGAAGAGCACTTATGCAGAGAAAGCCCTCTGGATGTGAGGTAAAAGCTGCTGGGGTTAAGGGAAGTCAGCTGACCTCAGTGTTTTTCCTTCCCTCAAAATTGTGCAAATTAATGAAGGATGAGGGCTTGTTTATTTTTAATACTCACTTCTCCCTTTCTACCTCATATGTTTACAATAATTTTATGCTAATTAACATTAACCTCACAAATTATTAATAAAGGGCAAAGTGTCATGAAATCAGCATCCCCTTTGCAGAACAAACTTCTTCTCATGGAAAAACCTGATCAGTGCTGAAATGCCATTTTCTGATTTCTTGGCACTAAACCATTTTACCTTTTATATCAATCCTGCAAACCTTTATTTTTCACAGACCAAAATACTGTTTTGTATTAAACTGAGCAATAGTCTGGTGACACTCAGCGAAATGCCACCTTGACTCTGAGGAACTAAGTAAAACAAAACTCAAAGTTTTGTGCTTCACAGACTAAGACCTGATATTTGTAAGAAAACTCTCTAGTCTTACTTCAATATGTTTCTTTTGAGATAATCATAACAAGAAAAGACTACAATCTTTAAAACCTGTCTGTTAACACGTTTTCAGAGAATTAAATCCCACCACCACTATCTGAGAGAGTCATCCGTTCTTCCACGTGTCCAGTAACCACTGTAATTGCTTAAGCACAGCTTGGCAGACACAATCAAACTTCAGCTGAAAAACGTAAATTTGTTGACTACAGTTTATATTTAGCATTTTAATAGTCATATTTTCTATAATCTACTGAGACTTCTGTTGTGCAACAGAATATACTATGGAAATCATCTTCAGGGAAAAAATGTCTTACAGAGGTATAATTACTGTAAAAGGAATTATAAATACCTTCCTATTCTCTTGGCACCCATTTCTCAAAAACATCTGAAATATTCCTTGTTATTTTCTGTCAATGTACAGAAAACAGAAAGGGATTTTAATTATGTTGCCCATACATGATACAATATACTACTTTTTTGTATGATGGTATATGAAAAAGAGTCCCTAGTTGAAAAATATTTTTTCTGGCAACTCCTCTGAAAAAAAAAATAAATCAAAAGCATTTTTAGAGTTGTTTGCTCAAGCAATTCTGGTCTGAAATTTTGCTTTCAAAACCACAGCAGGATGAGGCACACTAGTATTTTACTTAGAGCTACTTAGTCTAATTTCCACCTTTCCCCCCTAAATCTTGAACATTATTCATTTTAGACAAAATCTTAACTTTTTAAATGAAATACAGTTTCTTTCCAAGTATCTGATATCATAACTAGTAGGCTAATTTGCTATTTTAACAGGTTGAGATAGGAACTGCTCTTAAATCAGAATTCCTGTGAAAAACACCATCAAAGCATTTTAAACATCAGAGACAAAAAATGTTAATCATTACACAGGGAAGAGTATGACTTATCAAACTACAAGCATGATCTAATTTGTTCAGAAGTGATAAAGGAGTGTAATAATTACTCAGTGTGTGAATTATTAACCATGATGAGCTTGCCTGAAGAAAAATCCCAACTTTCATTTCAGGAGATCCACTGCAAAAATGCAGGGGGTATATTCATTCACCTGTATGGCAGTGAATCTAAAAAGAAGTTCCTGGAGTGCCCTTTCTGGCATGGAAAGCTTTTGACAAAGCTACTTTTCCTTTTAAAATACATTGCTTTTGGTGCAATCCAGTGTCATTTCCTTTCCTTTTTAACTCTTGAGGCACCTTGTCCTATTTGTAATCCTCCTGCACCTGTCCTGTCCTGGGCAGTCTTGGAAGTTGCTTGAGGAAGTGACTTGTTCGATGACATTGAAAAATTTCTTTGGTTGCCCTGAAGATTAAAATCTTATAGACATAATTTTGTTTGTTCAGATATGAATTATGTGTTGAATATATGAATTGTCATAATGATACATCGTGTTGTACCTGTTTTTTCATGACACAGACAATTGGAGCACAGACCTACATGTTTTAATTTGGGGAAAACTTTCAAGATTCTTCTTTCCTCTTTAACACTGGGATATGCATAAAATCATTATTTTAAGAACATCTGAAATTTAAAGTCCTCAGCTGGACACATTATTTTGACAAGACCTTAAAGATTTAAGAACTCAGTCTGGTTTCTTAACTAGACATCCAGTGCAGTTCTCACCTTCTCCTCCAAAGGATGCCACTGCCCTAAATGCCAGAGGAGCAGAAGGATCAGCATTAACACCAGGAATAGGGGTAGAAATTAGACATTCCATATGCATCTATTTTAACTACATTAATAGTTTTTCTTCTCTGTAACAACTAGATCTGGAATAATAAAGATCAGTCTTTTAAGATTACATTTACTCTCACAATATCTTTTGACTTCACTTTTAGAACAGATGTGCTTTCTCTTTGCCCATAAAGAGACAACAGGAAATATGATAGATTTTTTATTAAGTGTAGTAAAGGTGTAGTAAATCACATAGAATTGTTTTCACTACCCAAGTGTAACTACAAAATATAATATTTCAAACTGTAATTGTTAGCTTGGTCTAAAAGTTTACAAAGAGAAACAATCAGTAGGCAGGTCAATCCTTCTAGCCTTTTGTTCATTCCTATTGAGTGTGCCTGCTTCCTAATGATTTCAGAGATGGTAATCTGCAATTAATGCTGCCCTTTACCTTCTAGGTCTTTATTCAAAATAAAACTAATGGGGAGATATTTTGTTCCTACCAATTTATATGGGTTTTTAAATAAAAAATGAAAAGAAGGAGCTCTGAACAGTTCCAGAGAAATATACAAATCTCAAGAGCTCTGGGAGAAGCTGAAGAGGTGGGATTGAAGGGTTGTATGAGAATATGAAGAGGGGTAACTGAATAGCAAATGCAAGAGGAAGAAAAGAGAGGAAAAAAATTCAAATGGAAAGAATAATAAGGTTCAAGGAAAAAAAAAACCAAAATGTTACACATTTTTGTGTTACCTTCATTGCACTAAATGATAATGGAAATGAAAAATAATAAAACTCCTGGAAATCAGTTAATTGAAATCAAGGTTAGCATTTAAGAAGAGAAATGCCATAGAATTAAAGGGAGGCTTCTGCTGTTGATATGAGAGGGTACCTGCAGTACCTCCTACAGTTCCTCCTACTGTGAAAGGGTTTTTTTGAGTAAAAGAGAATGGGCAAGAATTTTTAGAAAGCTTAAAGAAAAGTAATCTACTCAGAGAAACTTGCTTTTTAATGGTACCCATCACAGGTAGTTCCTTCATAACAGAAGACTGACTTAATGTAGACACCATTGCATTTCATTCAGAAATACAGACTTAAAAATGTGTCCAGCTATCAAGGAAGTACCTCTTGAGTTCAGACAGAGCTTGAGGGAACAATCTTGTTAATTTGAGCAAGAGGCTCTTTTGTCAGACTTGGGAACTAGCAGACATACTGCAGTACTAATTATGTCTGCCAAGTACTTACCTCCCTGTGGAAAGAACTGAGAGTAAATCTCTTTGAAGGTTTCTTCATTGACAACACCACTGGGGCATTCCTGGAAAAAAGTAAATTACAAGAAATGAATACCATCCAATCTGGTCCACTCTGCTGAGTGTTCAGGAAACTGTCCCCAGCATGTGTGTGACTGACACACTGAAATGTGTGACTTTTCACTTTCAATCATTATTAATGCACATTATCACACTGAAGTATCTTCCTAAAGAAATCCCATGAGAAAAAAACTCCTTCTATGCCATGGATGTCAACTTCATTTGAGACCTGAGTGACACAGGTGGGCAGCAGCCACGGTGCCGCCTGAGTGGAGCTATTGCTGGAGCTGTTGTGCCACCTGTGTCGTGAGCTGTCCTCTCCCAGCTGCAATCAGCATTTGCACGGCATAGAAGTCAAGCAGGAATGTAAACACTTAGGTATTGCTGACAGAACACACCATCACATTCTACTGGAAGAGTTCTATTCAATGAATTCAAAAGACCCTGCCACTGAAGATCTTGTTCAAACCTTGTAGATCCTTTTGCCTCTTTACACTTTTTTCATAAACTGAAATATGTAACACAGAATATGTAGGAAGTTTCTGAATAGAGTGACTACAAAGAAAATGAAGGAAGCGAAGGATAAAGAGGGTTAAACCAATGACTTATGCAAAGAGGTAGGAAAAGCAGAAGGAATACTGTAATTGTTTACTATGTCAAGCATAAATATCCAAGACCAGAGAGCTGATTTCTAGTCCTGATTTTGCCAGACTGAACAGAAGACTTTGGGCAATGTACTTAATTATTTTTAAGTCTTACTTCCTTCTTTAATGCAAAAAAGGGGTAAAAAGCCAGGTATGTTTTTTAAAAGAAAAGGACTTTTAGAAACCAAGGGAAAAAAAAAGAAAGGCAAATTAAGCTTTAAGGCTCATACATTTATTTTTGACTATTATCATGCTATTTGGACTGAGGACTCAAACATATGTCCTCCTAGTCCTAAGCTCAGGAAAATTAATAGCTGGAAATGGAGATCAAGAGTAGTGTACCATCTTTTACCAGTGTAATAACAACTTCTCCTGTGAGAAAAAAATAGTATTCCAATTAGATCAAATAAAAACCACTGAGATATTCATAGTTCTGTCACCTGCTAAGAAACAAATAGTGTAATCTCTAATTGAGAGACAAATGCATGGTCTGAGAAATGCATGTCAGGTCTAGGATTATCATGTTTTATGTCAATTATCCATAGCTAGATCAGCTTTTCATCATAACTAAACACATACAAACATATAGAAAGAAAGAATTCTGTTCAATCAAGAAAACAGAAACAAACATGAGTGTCAGAGATACATGTACAAAATTATTTATCCCTGGGCACAGAGGCTGTCACTGATGCAGGCAGAGCTACAGCTCAATAAGATTAAATAAATACTGACTGCTGAGCCACACTGCCTTTGGAACCAAAGCCTTTGGGGAATGGGAGGAACAGCGAAATGAAACTCCACCCTTCATTAAGTAAGGAGCAATCCATAATTGAGGAGGCATCTCCCTGTCTGTCACGTCTTTGGGTATGAGGGCACTCTAAAACATCTCTCTCTCTTACCAGCTATCCAAAAAGACTGTAGTCAGATAGGCCACTATGGTTTCCAGCAGGTTTACAAGTAACAAGCAATAGGACAAGAGGAAATGGCCTCAAGTTCCCCCAGGAGAAATTCAGATTGGATATAAGGGAAAATTTATTTACTGAAAGGGTTATCAAGCATTGGAATGGGCTGCACAGGGAAGTGTTTGAGTCACCATCCCTGAAGATCTTTAAAAGCATGTAGGTGTGGCACTTGGGGACATGGTTTAGTTGTGGATTTGGCAGTGCTGGGTTAATGGTTGGACTCAATGACCTCAGTCATCTTTGCAACCTTGATGATTCTATGATTTTATGATTCTACTATGCTTCTTGTCTTTGGGAAGCCTTCTGGAGTTGTATAAGAGCATACAAAAGAGCAGTATTTTTACTTGGATTCAAAGCACAATAAAGAAAACATCAGTGAATTCTTCAGATACTCATAGAAATAATATTATAGCTATTCGATGTAGAAAATGTAACAAAAGTATTTTACAACCTCCTCTTCCAAGCATATAATGGTATATGATCTGTGTCATTCCCAGACCTGCAGGAAGAAGAATAAACAGCCTTTACCCTGAGATGGGCGTGAGCATGAGAAAACAATGCAGCATTTCAAGATTTAGAAAAAGAGGCAGTGGCTTCTTTCTGCTCTGCTGGTAATTTTTTTTCAGAAAAGAAAAAGAAGAGCTGGACACATTTTGAAGGAATTAAAGAGAAAACCTGTATTTTTGTACAGGTCAGATGTTGCCTTTTTTTTTTCCTCAGAAGATTAATAAATAATGGATGACCAAATACATATTTAAGGTCATCTAACTCTATGACTTATTAACATGTAAAACAACTTTTTCCCTTTTCCTTGGCTAACAAAGACATTCAAACTATACTAATTTTGCAAAGAATGCACTCCCTTTTTTACAGGAAATGCCAACAACTCCAGCTCTCTGAGTGCTTAGTCTGAAGCTCTGAAGACTGAAAGTCCCATTTCCTGACTGCATTTAAATTTTGTGATGTTAGAGGAGAATTAAGGATACTCTGCAAAAATCGATATGATTTATTATTTTTTAGTTCAAAATAAGCTGGCAGCCTTTGTTGTTAGAGAAATGCATGATCTACATACCTCTTTTAAAGGCAGTCCTTCTGTTTTTCCATTGCTTAATAAGCTCTGGTTTCACCACACTGTTTGAAAGAATCATTGCCTGAAAAGGCAACCTACTTTCAGGTTCAGAGAATTCTATACTTCAGAGAATTATATTTAAGCAGAGACAGGAATGACATTTTGAGTTTCTCTAGCTTGTCCCTCTGTAGCTTCCTCGGTTCTTTGCCACAGCATTGCCAGCAACATTTTACCTTTCCCATCCTTGAAGGTCTGTAGAAATGGTGTCTTAAGGGACATTCATTAAAAATCTGAGATGTTAGCCAATCACATTTACCAGAAATATCAGCTCAAACTTTTCTTACGTTAGCACGCATCTTTCCTCTGAGACTCTACATGACAGGGAACACTTCTGATCTTGAATAATTTCATTCTAAAAATATATGTGGTATGTGGCCAACATAATTTACCTCCATAACTGTACTTTTCTTGACTCATAAATCTGGCTTTATTGTGTTTTTCAGGAGATTTGTGCAGTTCAGGGAAAGAGATTAAATATTGTAATTGTTAAGTACGCCCCGAGGTTTTATGTCAAGCTATTGCTGACTTCTTCCACTGTACCAACTATAATTAAAAAAATCTATCTAACCTTTCATTAAACTCTTATAAATGAGAGGGAAATAATTAAATAGTTTGAAAGTAAAATGTAAGGCTTATTTAAACAATTTCCTATATTTCTTTCCTTGATCTGAATATAGTTTATTTTGTTACAGCAAATTTCTGTTTGATGATCTTTTAAAATTGCATTAATGTACTAGATTTTCCTTCTGAAGAATAAAAATGAGGGAATGTTCAGCTTGAACTGAATTCAGTTCTCTCTTCTCTAAAGAGAAAATAATATAAACTGACAAACTGACAGAAAACAATAAATATGATTCTGGCTTTTGATGATCTCTCTTGCTTGCAATTTCACTGCTGGGAAATTACACCTCTAGCACATGGTCTTATGAACCACTCCAAACCTGTAAATTATTTAGCCTCATACTGCCTACGACAACTCTCCTTCAGTATTTTTTAAAATACTGCAGTAGGTGATTCTTCTTTACTACCTAATCAACAATCTTTTCAGACAAGAGGCAAACCAAGAAGACACAAAACCAGAGAAACAGTGAAAGGTAGAAAAGATAATGAAGGAGAAACAAACTCAAAGTTCAGACTTTTGTCTGCATAACAATTAAATGATGGATAAAGCTGGAGTTTTAGCAACTTTGAATATCTTGCAGTTATAGAATTTTGCATGACAAATTTCCCATTGCATGCTCCATCTGCTGTTTCAGTTTTCATACCGCTTCATTTTAGATATATGTTCATGTCCATTGTTTAAATATCTTCTCTTTTTGCATGTACTTATATGCTCTATGTGCATGTGCCTTTTAGGAATATGCCTTCAGCCTTCTTCTCATTCCTGCTGTCAAACCTGATCAGATACTTTCCCCTAAGAAATGTAATTACTTCATTGATTTGATTTAATTAATTTCTGTAATTCAATACATTCATTCGTGGGTATTGTAGCCATTTTACTTGGGAATACTTTTAGAATTAAAGATGTATTTACTACATACCAACAGGGCTAAACTGAAATTCTGACCTACCTTAGAACTGTAAGACAAGAAAAAATTAATTTGTTATTTACTGTAAATTAAAAACCAAATAAATTTGTAATTTTGTAAATAACTTCCTGGTAGTAAATATAAATAAATTTGTCCATGTTATATTCATCAGGAACAGATTTCATATTTATTTTGAAGTGCGGTCAAGTGTGATAAATTTTCTGTCTTGATAGTACTCTTAGAATCCAGGGTTCACTTTTGGTACTGGATTATTTAATAAAAAACACAGAACACATATCAGAAATTATCTTTGTGAAAAGGGGCTGAGTGGCATTTCTGGAGTGCTGATCACACTACTGGCCAACACAGAAGAAACACCAAGAGCAGGGTAAAAATCCTGCAGCAGCTAATAAAAGTGATCTTTCTCTAGCAGGACTTCAAAGGAGATGATGCAAACAAAATGAGTTGTCTGGGGGAGATAAGGTTTTGAAGTTGTTAAAAAGAAAACAAGTGTAGTATAAAAAATATCTCAAAAGATATGCTTAAAATAGATGCCATGCACTAGCCTGTGAAGCAGTCTCAGAAACCTAATTCAGAGAAAAACCTCTCTCTTGAAATATTTGAAATGTGGCTGAACAAAGCACTGGAAATTAAGGCTGGAAAAAATCTGGGAATAGTCAGACAGTTCAAAAGACTTTTTCTCATTAATACAAATTTTAATAAATCACAGACAACCATATT